TAAAATAATGGTCGCGTTTTACCTTTGAATTAAAAATAAATAAATAAATACGCGACCATTCTTGGTCAAGAACGGTCGCGTATTACCGACAATGCGCGACCGTTTAGAAATGGTCGCGTAAAGTCCATGGCTTTTCGCGAGCCTCGCATAGGCGACCATTGTACAATGGTCGCGTAATGTCTTTTACAATAGTCGCGTATATGCAGTTCTGTACTAGTGGTTTTCGGTGTAAGAAAATCGGTACACTTGAAGTCATTTTCTTTTCTTTCACATTAATAGGTATGTTTATCTCACTTTTTTAATCTTTCATTCTATTTTTTTTCTTTTTCAATTTAGGAAAAACACTTTTACAACCACATTTTTTTTACATTCATCTACCAAATTTAATTTATGAACCTCCACTTCCAATTTAGACTGTCACCACCTCGTGTTCCAGAGAGTGGTATGATCTCTTTTGACCTCATAATTCTTTGTTTTATTAACTTTGACCTCATAATTCTTTGTTTTATTAACTTTGTATACTATACAGTGATACCTGTTCTCGTGATACTAGGAAAATATTCTAGTTACAATCATCACCCCCACTACAATCAATCATTTATGGCTTCATGATTCCTACAACTTGGGAAATTTTTTTTGAGTAGTTTATCCAAGATATATTGTTTGTTGGAACTTCTTAACCAAATTGATATTTCAGAAAACAGACTACAGCAGGGTTCAAATTGATATTTCAACTATATATGTACCTTGCCAATACCATAGAAACATCAAAGAATAATGTAAGGTCAATATGACGGTTGAGACTTATTGAGTCAAGTACTCAGAATACAATTAATCACAAAAAAAAGCAGTATCATAAGGGAAAAATTGAAACAATCAAAGCATAAGATCTTTCCTCCCAAAATTTATAATACATTCTCAGAGAAGAGAAGGTTTTATTTGGACATGACAGAGTTGAGAGATTTGGTAAATTTGTATAAAAGAGTTGGCATACAAGCTAGGAGAATCATCTATCCTTCCATGCAAGGAAAACGTACAACTACTAAGATAGTAAGATATGAGCTGAGGGATAAATGTAATAATGGATGAAAATTATTTATGGCTCTAATTGATCTCCTTTAGGACGGAGCTGAACAACGGAGGGTACGTAGGATATGTCTCGAATCCTGAGGTGGACTCTCTGCAAGGTTTTTGAGCAAGTCCACTTTTTGACCTTCAGGAAGCTGTCCGAAAAGTCATATTATACAAGAATTATTACATATATAATAATTTAGTGTCTTATACTGGACAAGAAATTAAATATTTATAAATTCACTTATATTAGACAAATAAAAAAAAATCACATAAAAAGAGTTTGTTCAGTAAAAAGATTGGAATTGAACTACTAATATTTCTAGGGTAGGCTAGCAAAGAAATAAAAATCATAAAATCTAATGTATATATATTAACGAGATAATAAATTATATAAAGGTTATACCCATCATATTAAAATCCTAATTCGATTAAAGTTGGCTTATCAATCATTATACTAAAATACTAAAATTCTAACTGGTTTGAGATTAACTTAGGATTTCCCAATCATACTAAAATTGTTAAACATAATAACTAGCTAATACTATATAAATCCTTCATCATTCTATAATTTTCTTCATCATTCTATAATTTTCTTTCATCATTATACAAGCTATTTAGATATAATAATTAATCATGTTTACCAAGGTTGCTATGCTGATTTGGTTGTATTGTCTTCTCCTACAAGCATCAACTTTATATTATTTATATTACTTCAAAAATGGCAACTTTAGAATCCTATTTAGATTTATGGGTTTCATTACAACTTTTCAGTTTATCATGATTATCCTTTACACCTTGTCCAACCTCTCTCTTGAATGGATAAACAATCAATACATTGATGATGATGATAGTGGTGATGATGACAATGATGATAACAGTGACGATGACGACGATAATGATGACGACAATGATAACAGTGACAATGTCAACGATGATAGTGGTGATAATGATGACGACGTTTATAGCAGTGACGATGATGACGATGATAGTGGTGACGATAGTGACGATGATAATGATAGTGACGATGATGACAATAGTGACGAATGGGTAAAACTTAAAACTGGATGTGAAAAATATGAGTAAAATGGTTCCACAGTATAACTACTTTTTCTTATATATAGTTAGAAATTATTCGACTTGTACAGATTATATTACTAGATTGATTTTATTATTACATTTGTTTTCTAATTGTGGTTGTTATTTTTTATAATTCTATTTTTAGAAGTAATCCCTCAATTATTCAAGATTTGTTTAATAATTTGTTCATTGGAGTTGAGTTTGAATAATTTGATTGCAAAATACTTATTACAAAATCAAAAATGGGAACCCAATTTTGTTTTAAAATAATTTAAAGAATTATTTTTGTTAATAAATTAATGCATGTATCCAGAATCCATTCGATATAAGTTCCAAACAAATATGCTGAGCACATAGTCCTGTAATGTACTTTACAGGAAGTTTCTACTTTTAAAATTGAACAAGTATAAAAAGGCAAGTAGAAAAATAGAGGGCTTTTAATTAAGAAACTGGCACAAAAAAATTGCATTAAAAAAAAAAAAAGTTTCTCTTTCAAAGTTTATTTGGAACATATTATTAAAGCTACATTGGCTCTCTTTTAAGTTTTAACAGCCAAACAAGTATTCTATGGCCCTGTGAATAAGTCTGTATACACTAAAGATGGCTAAAAAAACAAGAATACATGTATATGTCACCAACAGTTGGAACAATTATGAGACTACTGATAATGGCTTTGGCCCTTTCCAGATTTGTCAAACTAGAAAGCTCTATATGAATAAGAATTTATGAGTTACAGTCGGAAGTAGAATGGTAGATTAAACATGATATGGATTCACCACAGGAATACATTGAGCAATGGCAGGCACAATATAATGTGCAGTAAATGAGAGGAGAAGACTATAATTTTAAGCAAAATCAGAAAACAGACTATAGCAGAGTTCAAATTGATATTTCAACTAGAAACAGAAAAACAATAATTTGGTCATTATAATAGCAGAGAAGTGTGTTGATTAAGTATTTTTTGGAAAAGATATTGAATTGGATGAAAATAATGGCTCAAATTGATCACCTTTAGGACGGAGCTGAACAATTGAGGCCGGGTAGGATATGTCTCGAATCTTGAGGTTCTGTGTATGGTGGACTAACTCTCTGCGAGGTTTTTGAGAAAGTCCACTTTTCGATCTTCAGGAAGCTGTCAGAGAAGAGGGGTTAGAACAAACTTCATAAACTAACCAACCTTCACAACATGTTAGAATTTCTCCAATTCATAACAAAATTAGAAGTTTCAGAACAGAGGAAATGTTGACAAAGTCTTGCCTCTGGTACTTCTTCACAAAGTGAAACAATGATTGTTCTATTCATCTTAGCACTATGGCATGTCCCAGCAAGGATACGACCTCTGATAGAAACCCTATAGTACCAGTGAAGAGGCAATTTTATCAATATATGTCCCTAACATTTCATTTGCATTGCAGACTGGATTTATTCCAAACTGCACATTTCTCCATATTGCACATAAGCTACCAACTTGGATCTTAACATATCGCCATAACAACACAATATAGTCAAAAGCAAATAAATCAGAGAGAAGAAACAAAACAAAGCTCACCCCATATCCAAAAAAACCCACAAAACCAAGCAGGAATCTCACTTATATCAGATATAAAAATAATTTTTTGCATAGCCAACTATAAAGAATACTGGGAAGGAGAGAATAGATATGAACCTTCAATAGCCTTGCGAGGTGTCTTAAACCCTAGTCCTATAATTTGTGTTTCGCATAAATCCTATCTAAACCTGAGAAAAACTCCCGGCTGCTTCAAGAAAGCCATCTCAGTCTGCAATACAAACCGAAATGTTTGAGATTTCTGTATAAATCAATTCAGATTGAAAGTGCAAGTGTGTATACATGAGATAGAAGAACCTGCTCCGCCATTAACATTCCAATTTCCAACCAGTGGACAATAGTATAGTGAATAGAAAGATAGCCTAAGCATCAGCAAGCTAAGCCATTAAAACAGAGAAAGATTCAAACTCAACAATCAAGATGGATGAAAGTCATCTTTGGGCAACAACATCTGATGCTAACTTTTCACATTTATTTTCCATAAAAGGATCAAAGTAGCATGACAAAAAATATGTATGCATAATATAATCTATCTCAAATCACAACCCTAATTTCCCCCAAGTTCAATAAATGATCAAAACTGCTAAATTTTACATATATAGTACGTACCTAGTCCTCCCTCGCCTGCATCATTTCTAAACTAAATAACAAAAACAATTAATGTGAGATGGAAATAAAAACGAAGCAGAGCTTATAGGGTGTGATTAGTAGAAGTGTAGAACCCAATCATCATTGCCACTCCATTCACTCAGTTAAGGAAATTAAAGCTAAGCTTCCAGGCTATATATGTCTCTTCTTCACACACAAGCCCCCCTAGCCTTCAACAAAAATCATACAATTTCCATCACAATGATACAAACCATGGCTGACAACAAAAATCATACACACACAATCATACAATCTCATGGCTGACAAAATCCATACACACACATACAGTTCTCCGCTCCATTTTTTGCTATGAAAGCTAAGCATTTCCTCCAACAATTTCCCACATCGAAATTAGAGCAAAAATATTTTCTCTTAATAAGGCCATAGCTAGAAGAATTGCTTGCTGGGCTTGGTAGCACGAGCCTGTAACCCAAGTGGGAGCATTAAGATGGTGGAATGGTTGGCCATTCCCTGAAGGTTGGGCCTTGGTTGCTATCTACTGGCTTGCCCGTTCCAAGTGGTGAGTTGTGCCGTGGATACTTTGCGAAGGCAGAGACTTCTCGGTTCTTAGATTGGAGGGTATTGCGTGAGGCTGGCTTCATAGAGCAGCGAAAACCTCCTCCTCACTCTACAGTGGAAGGATAACGGGCCGGTGCATCCTCTACCCACTAGCGCCTGACGGGTCGTTCAAATTAAACCACCATCTTTTTAAAACTGTTGGACCACACAGCCGGTACATATTCTGCTGATCAAGTAAGCTGTAGCCTGTCTAATGGCTATTTTGTAACCACACAAACCACAAAGACTAAATAAGTATTCAACACTTATAGATAATCAATATATTTTTTAAGTGTCAATTAAATTTTAAATACCTTTTGAGCTAAATTATATTGTTGAAAGTGTAAAGCAAACATTCAACATATGTGAAGTTCATCTCTTCTAGGCATGTATTTCAGCATTAATTATGTTATTGAGTCAAGTACTCAGAAAGCAATCACAAAGAAAGCAGTATTATAAGGGAAAAATTGAAATAAAGCAAAAGATCCTCCCAAAAACCATAAAGCAGTATTATAAGGGAAAATTTGAAATAAAGCATAAGATCCTCCCAAAAACCATAAAGCAGCATCATATATTCTCATAGAAGGTTTTGATTTGTAGATATATGAACATAGATTTGGTAACTTTGTATAAAAGAGAATCATCTATGCTTCCATGCAAGGAAAACAACTACTAAGATATGAGGGATAAATGTAATAATGGATCAGATGAAAATTATGGCTCTAATTGATCACCTTTAGGACGGAGCTGAACAACTAAGGCCAGGTAGGATATGTCTCGACTCGAATCCTGAGCTGCGTGCTGTGTATGGTGAACCTAGCACATGGCATGATTTCAATCTATCAATCAATGTGGTCTCCATCATCAACCTACACATCAAAAGATAGTAAGATAATGTATGTCATTCTTAGAAAATAGGCTTTTTCTAAAAAGCAAGCCTCAATTTGGAGCTTCTAGAAAATTATATTTCTTTCTCTCATCCTTAAAAATACCATACCCCCTATCACTATCAACTTCACATGCAATTATGTTAGAAACTAGAATTATTGGTTACCCTTAAAACAAGAAAAGCACATATGTATGCATAATATAACCTATCCCAAATCACAACACTAATTTCCCCTAAACTCAATAAATGATCAAAACTGCTAAATTTTACATATATAGTACGTACCAAGTCCTAGGCATCCAAATTATGCTGACGCTCTTTCATCATATCATTTCCTCCCTCGCCTGCATCATTTCTAAACTAAATAATAAAAACAATTAATGTGAGATGGAAATAAAAACGAAGCAAAGCTTATAGGGTGTGATTGGATGCTGCCAGTAGAACCCAATCATCTCTGCCATTCCATTCACTCAGTTAAGCAAATTAAAGCTAAGCTTCCAGGCTATATATGACTCTGCTTCACATATAAGCCCCTCTAGCCTTCAACAAAAATCTTACAATTTCCATCACAATGATACAAAGCAAATCTCATGGCTGACAAAACCCATACACACACACACACAGTTCTCTGCTCCATTTTTTGCTATGAAAGCCAAGCATGTCCTCAAACAATTTCCCACATCGAAATTAGAGCAGAAATATTTTCTCTTAATAAGGTCGTAGCTAGAAGAATTGCTTGCTGGGCTTTGTTGCGTGAGCCTGTAACCCAAGTGGGAGCATTAAGATGGTGGAACAGTTGGCCATTCCCTGAATGCTGGGCCTTGGTTGCTATTTACTGGCTTGCCCGTTCCAAGTGGTGAGTTGTGCTGTGGGTTCTCTGCGAAGGTAGAGGCTTCTTTGGTCCTTAGATTTGGAGGGCACCGCGTGAGGCTGGCTTCACAGAGCAGCGAAAACCTCCTCCTCTCTGCAGTGGAAGGATAACGGGCCGGTGCATCCACTACCCAATAACGCCTGACGGGCTGTTGAAATTGAACCACCATCTTTTTGAAAAAGAATACTCTATAAAGTTATTTTCTGAAAATTATGCTTATCCAACATAACTCATTCTTTATGCTCAAAGCAATTAATCATCAAATGGTACAATACACAAAACTAAAGATCATACAAAATGCATATTCCCAAGTATAGTTGACTTCACCAAATTAAAATAAGAAACAAAAACATACAATTTAGGAATTAAAACAAACACAAAACATGCATTTTCTTAATCTCAACCCATTAAAATAGGGAAACTGCAGTATTAAATATTTGAAATTCTAGCTATTCATTTTAAGTGGAAAAAAAATCTCAATTTCTACCTTATAATAAAAATCCACAATGTATAACATATCACGGTTTAGGCATAAAAAAATAGCGAAATGATAATTAGCAAAGAAAAATATCTAATTCTGATTTGTGTTTGGCGGAAGAAGTTTGTTAGGGAGTAATAAATTCTGAATTTCAAAAAGGCCGCGCCATGGCTTCCATTAACGGCTACTACTACTATGCCGCCTTAATCCCACCGGAATTAGGGCTCCGTTGTACCCTTATAAGTAGGCGTCGCCGCCTTCACTTCCAAGCTCTTCAATTCTCTGTTGAGTTTCTCCGACCCGCCATTAACGAACAGATAAGAGTGCAGTGGATGATAACCTCTCTGATCTTCTTCAACTAACAACCAACATGGGGATCAGTCTGTTTCCATCGTTCCGGGAATTTCTCGTTCCCACCCAAGGAAACCGGACGTTGATCTCTGTCCCTCTGTTTGGTGTTTCAACGCCGATCAAAAACCACCGATTTCTGCCCTACCCAATCTCCAAGAATTCACCTTTATGCTCTTGTCGCCATCAAAGCCCTCCTCTGATCTTGATCTCTTTCCCGTTCCAGCCACATTTGAAGATTTCTTGTAGGACAAGAATCACTGGATAAAGAACCATTCGTCGAGGCTGTTGTTGGGTAAGGAGGATGTGAGGAAATACGTTCTGCCATTGATGGATGAGAAGAGGCGTGCGGCTTGTCAAAGCAAGGAAGGACTGATGGCATTGGGTTGATATGAGACTTTGAAAAACTGGCTTCTTCTTCCACAACTTCAATGCCCAATCTTAGTTACTTACTTGTTATTGTGCAGTGATCTGATTAGCTTAGCTGACTGATGAAATTTTGGGAGGATTCTATGTGCTGCGCTGTTTCCACTCATATATATGATAGATATGACTTTATTAAATAGCTAGTATGTCACCCGTTCTAACATAGAAATGATTAATATATGGTGGCTAAAAGTAAAATAATTTGATGGAATTTAAAATATAATAATTTTATAAATTATTAAAAATTTATTTGTAAATTACATTTTGTGTAGTGTTTAAAAAAACATCTAGAATCATCATATATTAAAATCTTTAGCCCATCAGAATTATTAATTCTCGAGACTGCTACGTACAACTGGTCATGGTTAAATATAAATTTTTTTAGACCGACATGTTATAACGTTTGTCCTTGACTTTTGTTAATTGTCATAGCGTATGAAATTTAAAACGAAGTCTTGGGTCCGAAGGAGTCGATGCCAACAGTGGGATAAGAACAGTTGTACCTGCATTATTTCCATACAGGATTTGAGCTTCAATGGTATGGTTGCCTAATTGTGTAATGATCAACCTTGTGCCGTTACAAAGTTCCAATGAGTGGTCTATATTCCTTAAAAGCATAACTGAAGATCCAACCTTTGGACACCGGAACACCACAATGGTAATTATTAGTTTAATTATTATAATAATTATTAAATTTTATATAGTAATAGATTGGGAGATAGTTTGGACGGGAAGTTGTAGAAGTAAGATTTTATTTTTATTTGGAATAAGGTTCAAATTAGGCCACTGAATGAAAAAAAAAAAGTGCAATTAGGCCACTGAACACTCGAAATGTATGCAATTTCACCTGATAGCAGGTTACCATCAATTTTAGCAGGTTACCTGCTTACGTGGCAGCTGAGTTGGCATTTTTAATAATTTTTAATAAAGTTTAATAATAAAGTTTTTTTTTAAAAAAATTATTTAAAACAAATTTAATTTTTTTTTTAATTTTTTAATTTATTTATTTTTTCAATTTATTTTAAAAAAAATTATTATTAAAAGTTATTAAAAATTATTTAAAAATTATTAAAAATGCCAACTCAGCTGCCACGTAAGCAGGTAACCTGCTAAAATTGATGGTAACCTGCTATGCGGTGAAATTGCATACATTTAGAGTGTTCAGTGGCCTAATTGTACGTTTTTTGCTGTTCAGTGGTCTAATTGCATCTTTTTTTCGTTCAGTGGCCTAATTGCATTTTCAGGTTACGTTCAGTGGCCAATTTGAACCTTATTCCTTTTTATTTATAGTATAGATATAGATATAGTTTATCAATTAATCACCCATCTAAAAAAAAGTTTCTCATACAAAGTTTATAAGGAACAGATTAAAGCTACATTGGCTCTCTTTTAAGTTTTAACAGCCAAACAAGTATTCTATGGCCATGTGAATAAGTCTGTATACACTAAAGATGGCTAAAAAAAACAAACAAGAATACCTGTATATGTCACGCACACTTGGACACTTATGAGATTACTTATAATGACTTTGGCCCTTTTCAGAGTTGTCAAACTAGGAAGCTGTAGATTTGCTTTGTTGTGTATAGGACTAAGATGTATGCATAATATAAGCTATTTCAAATCACAACTCTAATTTTCTCTAAACTCAATAAATGATCAAAACTGCTAAATTTTACATATATAGTACGTACCTAGTCCTCCCTCGCTGCATCATTTCTAAACAAAATATGAGATGGAAATAAAAACGAAGCAAAGCTTATAGGGTGTGATTGGATGCTGCCAGTAGAACCCAATCATTTCTGCCATTCCATTCAGTCAGTGAAGCAAATTAGAGCTTCCTGGCTATATATGTCTCTGCTTCACATATAAGCCCCTCTAGTTGGCCTTCAACAAAAACCATTCAATTTCCATTACAATGATACAAAGAAAATCTCATGGCTGACAAAACCCATATACACACACAGTTCTCTGCTCCATTTTTTTGCTATGAAACCCAAGCATGTCCTCCAACAATTTCCCACATCGAATTGAAATTAGAGCATAAATATTTTCTCTTAATAAGGCCGTAGCTAAAAGAATTACTTGCTGGGCTTGGTAGCACGAGCTTGTAACCCGAGGAGGAGCATTAAGATGGTGGAACAATTGGCCTTTCCCTAAAGGGGGCTTTGGATGCTATCTACTAGCTTGCCCGTTCCAAGTGGTGAGTTGTGCCGTGGATTCTCTGCGAAGGTGGAGGCTTCTCGGTCCTTAGATTGAAGGGCACCGCGTGAGGCTGGCTTCACAGAGCAGCCTCCACCCACTAGCGCCTGACGGGTCGTCCAAATCGAACCACCATCTTTTTCAACTGTTGGGAAGTCATTTTCTTTCCTTACATTAATAGGTATGTTTATCTCACTTTTTTAATCTTTCATTCTATTCAGAAAATAGACTACAACAGTGTTCAAATTGATATTTCAACTATATATATATGTACCTTGCCAATACCATAGAAACAGCAAATTAAAGAATAATTTGGTGAATATGAGGGTTGAATAACAGATTAGAGCAGTGTGTTGATTAAGTACTTTTTGGAAAAGATAGATGATACACATTCTCCTGGATCTGCTGAGTAAGTTGTAGCCTGTCTAATGGTTGCGCAGTGACTATTTTGTAACCACACAATTAAGCTATTAGTAATCGGTTGGCCAATCACTCTGCTCCATCTTGTGTAAGTCTTAGAATGTATTGAGATCTTCTGTTTATAGTGGATAAAAGGAGAAGCTGTTGAGATTGATAAACATATATAATAGCTCAACATTCAACAAATCAGAGTGGCGCAGCGGAAGCGTGGTGGGCCCATAACCCACAGGTCCCAGGATCAAAACCTGGCTCTGATAGAGTAAAACTATTTTCTCAATAGTTTACTATCCAAGTTAAGATTGAATTCTGGTTGGGTTTGGGAGCATTAAGAGATGGTGGAACAGCGGAGGCTTCTCGGTCCTTAGATTGGAGCACCAGTGCGAAAACACCAACCCCCTATAATGTAAGGTGTGCCCCGCGCCGGGGCTTGGTAGCGAGCAAAACACCAACCCCAACCCCGGGGCTTGGTAGCGAGCAAAACACCAACCCCCTAATGTAAGGTGTGCCCCGCGCCGGGGCTTGGTAGCGAGCATTAAGAGATGGTGGAACAGCAAATGCTTCTCGGTCCTTGGATTATATTGGAGGGCACTGCGTGCGAAAACACCACCTCCTAATGTAAGGTGTGCCTCGGGCCGGGGCTTGGTAGCGAGCATTAAGAGATGGTGGAACAGTGGAGGCTTCTTGGTCCTTAGATTGGAGGGCACCGCGTGCGAAAACACCACCTCCTAATGTAAGGTGTGCCTTGGGCAGAAAGTCTCCTAATGTACGGTGCGCCTCAGACCGTCCAAATAAAACGGGTACACATGAAGTCATCATTTTATTTCCTTTCACATTAATAGGTTTATCTCACTTTTTTGACCTCATAATTCTTTCTTGTATAATCTTTCATTCTATTTTATTTTTTTCAATTTAGGAAAAACACTTTTACAACCACATTTTTTTTACATTCATCTTCCAAATTTAATTTAGGAACCTTCACTTCCAATTTAGACTGCCACCACCTGGTGTTCTAGAGAATGTTGTATGATCTCTTTTGACCTCATAATTCTTTCTATTAGCTTTGTATAATATACAGTGATACCTGTTCTTGTGATACTAGGAAAATATTCTAGTTACAATCATCACCCCCACTACAATCAATTATTTATGGCTTCATGATTCCCTGGAAAAATTTTTTGAGCAGTTTATCCAAGATTGTTTGTTGGAAACTTCTTAACCAAATTGATATTTCAGAAAACAGACTACAACAGAGTTCAAATTGATATTTCAACTATATATATATATGTACGTTGCCAATACCATATATAGAAACAGCAAAGAATAATGTAAGGTCAATATGACGGTTGAGACTTATTGAGTCAAGTACTCAGAAGACAATCACAAAGAAAGCAGTATCATAAGGGAAAATTATTTATGGCTCTAATTGATCACCTTATAAGTTTGTATAAAAGAGTTGGCATACAAGGTAGGAGAATCATCATATCTATGCTTCCATGCAAGGAAAACAAGTACTAAGATATGAGGGATAAATGTAATAATGGATGAAAATTATTTATGGCTCTAATTGATCACCTTTCATTAGGACGGAGCTGAACAACTGATCGAGGGTAGGATATGTCTCGACTCGAATCCTGAGGTGCGTGCTATGTATGGTGAACTCTCCTCTGCAAGGTTTTTCAGAGAAGAGAAGAGAGGTTAGAACAATCTTCATAAACTAACCAATCTTCACAACATGTTATAATCCTCTTCCTAGAATTATGAGTAGATATCTTTACATATATAAATGTGTTTGAGTCACCCAAAAATTAAAGGGCCATCATATTCCTTCCTATGATGAAATAGTCAACTCTAGCTAAGACATTACCTTATCAAAAACAGGGAAAATGTGATGTACTCGTTCAAATAGTTGATTGAGAAACTTGCTATTTAATTTGATTTATGCACCCCGGCCTCTGCATGCAGTGTATAAGTAGTTCAATTACTTAAAACATGCTATTTGTCTACAGAAAATATAACAGTAGTTAATAAAGATTTAAGCATAATCGATCTCAAACCAAGCAGGCATCGTCTCACTTATATCAGATATAAAAATAATTTTTTCACAATACACAAACCGGAGGGACAGAATAGATATGAACCTTCAATAGCTCCAACATGGATGAATGTTTCTTTCACACCCAAACTATTAACATTCCAACCAATGGACAATAGTATAGTGAATACAAAGATAACCTAAGCATCAGCCATATAAAACAGAGAAAGATTCAAACTCAACAATCAAGTTACCTATGGCAACAACATCTGCTGCTAACTTTTCACATTTAGCATACATAAAAGGATCAAATTAGCATGACAAAAAATCTGTATGCATAATCTAATCTATCTCAATTCACAACCCTAATTTCCCCTAAACTCAATAAATCATCAAAACTACTAAATTTTACATCTATAGTACGTACCTAGTCCTAGGTTTCAAAATAATGCTGACGCTCTTTCATCTTTTCCTCCCTCGCCTGCATCATTTCTAAACTAAATAATAAAAACAATTACTGTTAGATGGAAATAAAAACGAAGCAAAGCTTATAGGGTGTGATTAGTAGAACCCAATCATCTCTGCCATTCCATTTACTCAGTTAAGCAAATTAAAGCTTCCAAGCTATATATGTCTCTGCTTCACATATAAGCCCCCTTAGCCTTCAACAAAAATCATACAAAGCAAATCTCATGGCTTACAAAACCCATACACACACACAAACAGTCCAAACACAGTTCTCTGCTCCATTTTTTGCTATGACAGCCAAGCATGTCCTCCAACAATTTCCCACATCGAAATTAGAGGAGAAATATTTTTTCTTAATAAGGCCGTAGCTAGAAGAATTACTTGCTGGGCTTGGTAGCGCGAGCTTGTAACCTGAGTGGGAGCATTAAGATGGTGGAACAGTTGGCCTTTCCTTGAAGGCTGGGCCTTGGTTGCTATCTACTGGCTTGCCCGTTCCAAGTGGTGAGTTCGCAGAGGCTTCCCGGTGCCCTTAGATTGGAGGGCGCACTGCGTGAGGCTGGCTTCACAGAGCAGTGAAAACCTTCTCCTCTCTGCAGTGGAAGGATAGGATAACGGGCCGGTGCATCCTCTACCCACTAGCACCTGATGGGCTGTCCAAATCGAACCATCATCTTTTTTCCAACCGTTGGGCCACACAAAAAGGGTACACTGAAGTCATTTTCTTTCCTTTCAAATTAATAGGTATGTTTATCTCACTTTTTAAATCTTTCATTCTATTCAGAAAACAGACTACAGCAGTGTTCAAATTGATATTTCAACTATATATATATGTACCTTGCCAATACCATATATAGAAACAGCAAATTAAAGAATAATTTGGTGAATATGAGGGTTGAATAACAGATCAGAGAAGTGTGTTGATTAAGTATTTTTTGGAAAAGATATGATGATACACATTCTACCGGATCTGCTGATCCAGTAAGCTGTAGCCTGTCTAATGGCTATTTTGTAACCACACAATTAAGCTATTAGTGGCATTTGGAGCCTATCCAACCACAAAGACTAAATAAGTATTCAACACTTAAAGATAATCCATATATATTTTAAGTTTTTGAGCTAAATTATATTGTTGAAAGTGTAAAGCAAACATTCAACATATGTGAAGTTCATCTCTTCGAGGCCGGCATATATGTATTTCTGCATTAATTATGTTATTGAGTCAAGTACTCAGAACACAATTAATCACAAAGAAAGCCCGCAGTATCATAAGGGAAAAATTGAAACAAAGCATAATAAGATCCTCCCAAAATTAATAATATATTCTCAGAGAATTGAAGGTTTTGATTTGTAGATATATGAAGATGAGAGAGTTGAGAGATTTGGTAACTTTGTATAAAAGAGAATGATCTATACTCCCATGCAAGGAAAACAAGCACTAAGATATGAGGGATGTAATAATGGATGAAAATTATTTATGGCTCTAATTAATTGATCACCTTTAGGACGGAGCTGAACATCTGATCGAGGGTAGGATATGTCTCGACTCGAATCTTGAGGTGCGTGCTATGTATGGTGAACTCTCCTCTGCAAGTTAAGGTTTTTGAGCAAGTCCACTTTTCGATCTTCAGAGAAGAGGGCCGAGGTTAGAACAAACTTCATAACTAACCTAATTCAGAACATGTTAGAATCTTCTTCCTAGAATGATGAGTAAATATGTTTACATAAATGTGTTTCAGTCACCCAAAAATTAAAGGGCCATCATATCCCTTCCTATGATATGATGAAATATGAATACTAAATGAAATAGTCAACTCTAGCTAAGACATTAATTACCTTAACGAAAACAAGGAAAATGTGCTTAGTTTGTTCAAATAGTTGAGAAACTTGCTATTTAATTTGTGTACAGAAAAAATAACAATTAATAAAGATTTAAGCATAATCCATCTCAAACCTCAAAAAATGGAATGACCATATACAAGCTAGCATGATATCAATCTATCAATCAATGTGGTCTCCAAAATAACTCATTCTTTATGCTCAAAGCAAGCATCAATGCTACAATACACACAAGACATAATATATCAGTTTTTCCTCTTCTTCTTATTTGTTTGTATTCTACAGTAGTTCCTACGAACAATGATTGTTCTATTCATCTTAGCACTATGGCATGTCCCAGCAAGGATACGACTTCTGATAGAAACAGTACCAGTGAAGAGGCAATTTTATCAATATATGTCCCTAAAATCAAGAAACACAACTTTTTTAGAATCAAGCTCAAACCACATTTTAGATAGAAAGCACAAATTTCCCACAAGTATCTCATAGCATGCAAAGGATAGTATGAGCATATTAGAGACCCGAGCAGTACCATTGCATCACATAAATTGGTCTAATACACCAATATCACATAACTAGTAGCATGCTATAGATATATATAATTAGAATAAACACTAAGGGTGTGTTTGGTTGACAGGTTTAGCTCTAAGGAATGGGTATCAAAGTGATTGGTACTGTTTGGTTGATAGGTTTTTAGAACACTACTATAGGTTTCAAATATCCCATTAATCGAAAAACCCATACCGAAATTAAATAAAGGTATCATCCAATTTCATTCCTTTATTTCAGCATTATTGATAATCATTCTCATTCCATCCTACTACCAAACAGCATTTGGAGTATAAATTAAGGTTCCACACAGCTTTTCCAATGTGCAAAATCATAAATGTTGAAGTGTTGAACCATCTAATTGCCTCACTCCTTATTGTCTTCAATCAGTTCTCCATTTTATAAGCAGATATAGGGCAATCACATTAATAATTAAAGATCCCAGTAATTGTCAAGCTTGATATAAGTTGGTCTAATATATATAATCAAATCACTACTTTCATATTTATGGCTTGAAATTTGCATTACAGACTGGATTTAATTTATTCCAAACTACACATTTCTCCCTATTGCACATAAGCTACCAACTTGGATCTTAACATATCGCCATAACAACACATTATAGTCAAAAGCAGATAAATCAGAGAGAAGAAACAAAATAAAGCTCACCCCATATCCAAAAAAACCCACAAAACGAACCAAGCAGGAATCTCACTTATATCAGATATAAAAATAATTTTTTGCATAGCAAACTACAAAGAATACTGGGAGGGAGAGAATAGATATGAACCTTCAATAGCCTTGCGAGGTGTCTTAAACCCTAGTCCAATGTTCGCATAAATCCTATCTAAACCTGAGAAAAACTCCCGGCTGCTTCAAGAAAAAGCCTTCTCAGTCTGCAATACAAACCGAAATGTTTGAGATTTCTCTATAAATCAATTCAGATTGAAAGTGCAAGTGTGTATACATGAGATAGAAGAACCTGCTCCACCATTAACATTCCAATTTCCAACCAGTGGACAAAAAATTCAGCAATAACATCTGATGCTAACTTTTCACATTTAGTATCCATAAAAGGATCAAATTAGCCTGACAAAAAATATGTATGCATAATATAATCTATCTCAAATCACAACCCTAATTTCCCCTAAGTTCAATAAATGATCAAAACTGCTAAATTTTACATACATAGTACGTACCTAGTCCTCCCTCGCCTGCATCATTTCTAAACTAAATAACAAAAACAACTAATGTGAGATGGAAATAAAAACGAAGCAGAGCTTATAGGGTGTGATTAGTAGAAGTGTAGAACCCAATCATCGCTGCCACTCCATTCACTCAGTTAAGGAAATTAAAGCTAAGCTTCCAGGCTATATATGTCTCTTCTTCACATGTAAGCCCCCCTAGCCTTCAACAAAAATCATACAATTTCCATCACAATGATACAAACCAAATCTCATGGCTGACAAAACCCATACACACACAAACAGTTCTCCGCTCCATTTTTGCTATGAAAGCTAAGCATTTCCTCCAACAATTTCCCACATCGAAATTAGAGCAAAAATATTTTCTCTTAATAAGGCCATAGCTAGAAGAATTGCTCGCTGGGCTTGGTAGCACGAGCTTGTAACCCAAGTGGGAGCATTAAGATGGTGGAATGGTTGGCCATTCCCTGAAGGTTGGGCCTTGGTTGCTATCTACTGGCTTGCCCATTCCAAGTGGTGAGTTGTGCTGTGGATACTTTGCGAAGGCAGAGACTTCTTGGTCCTTAGATTGGAGGGTACTGCGTGAGGCTGGCTTCACAGAGCAGCGAAAACCTCCTCCTCTCTACAGTGGAAGGATAACGGGCTGGTGCATCCTCTACCCAGTAGCGCCTGAAGGGTTGTCCAAATTAAACCACCAGTTTTTTTAAACTGTTGGACCACACAGCCCGTACAACAATGAAAAGATGATACATATTCTCCCGGATCTGCTGATCGAGTAAGCTGTAGCCTGTCTAATGGCTATTTTGTAACCACACAATTAAGCTATTAGTGGCATTTGGAGCCTATCCAACCACAAAGACTAAATAAGTATTCAACACTTATAGATAATCAATATATTTTTTAAGTGTCAATTAAATTTTAAATACCTTTTGAGCTAAATTATATTGTTGAAAGTGTAAAGCAAACATTCAACATATGTGAAGTTCATCTCTTCTAGGCATGTATTTCTGCATTAATTATGTTATTGAGTCAAGTACTCAGAAAACAATCACAAAGAAAGCAGTATTATAAGGGAAAAATTGAAATAAAGCAAAAGATCCTCCCAAAAACCATAAAGCAGTATCATATATTCTCATAGAAGATTTTGATTTGTAGATATATGAACATAAATTTGGTAACTTTGTATAAAAGAGAATCATCTATGCTTCCATGCAAGGAAAACAACTACTCAGATATGAGGGATAAATGTAATAATGGATCAGATGAAAATTATGGCTCTAATTGATCACCTTTAGGACGGAGCTGAACAACTGAGGCCGGGTAGGATATGTGTTGACTCGAATCCTGAGCTGCGTGCTGTGTATGGTGAACCTAGCACATGGCATGATTTCAATCTATCAATCAATGTGGTCTCCATCATCAACCTACACATCAAAAGATGGTAAGATAATGCATGTCATTCTTAGAAAATAGGCTTTTTTCTAAAAAGCAAGCCTCAATTTGGAGCTTCTAGAAAATTATATTTCTTTCTCTCATCCTTAAAATACCATACCCCCTATCACTATCAACTTCACATGCAATTATGTTAGAAACTAGAATTATTGGTTACCCTTAAAACAAGAAAAGCACATATGTATGCATAATATAACCTATCCCAAATCACAACACTAATTTCCCCTAAACTCAATAAATGATCAAAACTGCTAAATTTTACATATATAGTATGTACCAAGTCCTAGGCTTCCAAATTATGCTGACGCTCTTTCATCATATCATTTCCTCCCTCGCCTGCATCATTTCTAAACTAAATAATAAAAACAATTAATGTGAGATGGAAATAAAAACGAAGCAAAGCTTATAGGGTGTGATTGGATGCTGCCGGAAGAACCCAATCATCTCTGCCATTCCATTCACTCAGTTAAGCAAATTAAAGCTTTCAGGCTATATATGTCTCTGCTTCACATATAAGCCCCGCTAGCTTTCAACAAATATCATACAATTTCCATCACAATGATACAAAGCAAATCTCATGGCTGACAAAACCCACACACACACACACACAGTTCTCTGCTCTATTTTTTGCTATGAAAGCCAAGCATGTCCTTGAACAATTTCCCACATCGAAATTAGAGCAGAAATATTTTCTCTTAATAAGGCCGTAGCTAGAAGAATTGCTTGCTGGGCTTGGTAGCGCGAGCCTATAATCCAAGTGGGAGCATTAAGATGGTGGAACAGTTGGCCTTTCCTTGAAGGCTGGGCCTTGGCTGTTATCTATTGGCTTGCCCGTTCCAAGTGGTGAGTTGTGCCATGGGTTCTCTGCGAAGGCAGAGGCTGCTTCTTGGTCCTTAGATTGGAGGGCAGTGCGTGAGGCTGGCTTCACAGAGCAGCGAAAACCTCCTCCTCTCTGCAGTGGAAGGATAACTGGCCAATGCATCCACTACCCAATAATGCCTGACGGGCTGTCTAAATTGAACCACCATCTTTTTGAAAAAGAATACTCTATAAAGTTATTTTCTGAAATTGTGCTTATCCAACATAACTCATTCTTTATGCTCAAAGCAATTAATCATCAATGGTACAATACACAAAATTAAAGATCATACAAAATGCATATTCCGAAGTATAGTTGACTTCAGCAAATTAAAATAAGAAACAAAAACATACAATTTAGGAATTAAAACAAACACAAAACATGCATTTTGTTAATCTCAACCCATTAAAATAGGGAAACTGCAGTGCTAAACATTTGCAATTCTAGCTATTCAATTTAAGTGGAAAAAAAAATCTCAATTTCTACCTTATAATAAAAATCCACAATGTATAACATATCACGGTTTAGGCTTTAAAAAAATAACGAAATGATAATTAGCAAAGAAAAATATCTAATTCTGATTTGTGTTTGGCGGAAGAAGTTTGTTAGGAAGTAATAAATTCTGAATTTCAAAAAGGAGGCGCCATGGCTTCCATTAACGGCTACTACTACTATGCCGCCTTAATCCCACCGGAATTAGGGCTCCGTTGTACCCTTATAAGTAGGCGTCGCCGCCCTCACTTCCAAGCTCTTCAATTCTCTGTTGAGTTTCTCCAATCCGCCATTAACGAACAGATAAGAGCCACATTTGAAGATTTCTTATAGGACAAGAATGTGGATAAAGAACCATTCGTCGAGGCTGTTGTTGGGTAAGGAGGATGTGAGGAAATACGTTCTGCCATTGATGGATGAGAAGAGGCGTGCGGCTTGTCAAAGCAAGGAAGGACTGATGGCATTGGGTTGATATGAGACTTTGAAAAACTGGCTTCTTCTTCCACAACTTCAATGCCCAATCTTAGTTACTTACTTGTTATTGTGCAGTGATCTGATTAGCTTAGCTGACTGATGAAATTTTGGGAGGATTCTATGTGCTGCGCTGTTTCCACTCATATATATGATAGATATGACTTTATTAAATAGCTAGTATGTCACCCGTTCTAACATAGAAATGATTAATATATAGTGGCTAAAAGTAAAATAATTTGATGGAATTTAAAATACAATAATTTTATAAATTATTGAAAATTTATTTGTAAATTACATTTTGTGTAGTGTCTAAAAAAAACATCTAGAATCATCATATATTAAAACCTTTAGCACATCAGGATTATTAATTCTCGAGATTGCTACGTACAACTGGTCATGGTTAAATACAAGTTTTTTTTAGACCGACATGTGATAACGTTTGTCCTTGACTTTTGTTAATTGTCATAGCGTATGAAATTTAAAACGAAGTCTTGGATCCAAAGGAGTCGATGCCAACAGTGGGATAAGAACAGTTGTACCTGCATTATTTCCACACAGGATTTGAGCTTCAATGATATGGTTGCCTAATTGTGTAATGATCAACCTTGTGCCGTTACAAAGTCCCAATGCGTGGTCTATATTCCTCAAAAGCATAACTGGAGATTCAACCTTTATTGTTGAAGAATGGTTTGGGACACCGGAACACCACAATGGTAATTATTAGTTTAATTACCATAATAATTATTAAATTTTATATAGTAATAGATTGGGAGATAGGTTGGACGGGAAGTTGTAAAAGTAAGATTTTGTTTTTATTTATAGTATAGATATAGATATAGTTTATCAATTAATCACCCATCTAAAAGAAGGAGAAAAAAAAGCCATATTATACATGAATTATTACATATATAATAATTTAGTGTCTTATACTAGACAAGAAATTAAATATTTATCAATGCTCTTATATTAGACAAATAAAAAAAAATCACATAAAGAAGAGTTTGGTCAGTAAAAGGATTGGAACTACTAATATTTCAAGGGTAGGCTAGCAAAGAAATAAAAATCATAAAATCTAATTTATATATATTAACAAGATAAATTATATAAAGGTTATACCCATCATATTAAAATCCTAATTCGATTACAGTTGGCCTATCAATCATCATACTAAAATACTATATTTCTAATTGGTTTGAGATTAACTTAAGGTTTCCCAATCATACTAAAATCATTAAACATAATAACTAGCTAATACTATATAAACCCTTCATCATTCTATAATTCTCTTCATCATTCTATAATTTTCTTCATCATTCTATAATTTTCTTTCATCATTATACAAGCTATTTAGATATAATAATTAATCATGTTTACCAAGGTTGCTATGCTGTTTTGGTTGTATTGTCTTCTCCTACAAGCATTAACTTTATATTATTTATGTTACTTCAAAAATGGCAAACTTTAGAATCCTATTCAGGTTTATGAGTTTCATTACAGCTTTTCAGCTTATTCTGATTATCCTTTACACCTTGTTCAACCTCTCTCTTGAATGGAGCAACAATGAATACATTGATGATGATGATGATTATGATTTCATTGATGATGATGATAATAGTGGTGATGATGACAATGATAGCGATGATGATGACGACGACGATAGTGGTGACGATGTTGACGATGATAGTAGTGAGGATGTCGACGATGATAGTAGTGATAATGATGACGACGATGATGGGGGTGACAATAGTGACGATGATGACAATAGTAATAATAGCGACGGATGGGTAAGACTTAAAACTGGATGTGAAAAGTATGAGTAAAATTGTTGCATTGTATAACTCTTTCTTATATATAGTTAGAAATTATTCGACTTGTACGGATTATATTAATAGGTAGATTTTATTATTACATTTGTTTTCTAATTGTGGTTGTTATTTTTTATAATTCTACTTTTAGAAGTAATCCCTCAACTATTCGAGATTTATTTAATAAAGAGTTAATAACCAATTTGGTCCTCCGACTATTGCGAAACTAGCGATTTGATCCTCGACTATCATCCTTACCAAGTTAAGTCCTCAACTTTATAATTTTTACCCGATCGTCTCCTCTTCCTTGCTTCGTCTCCGCTGCTCACTATCGCGTTCGCTTCGTCACCTTTTCCCGTGCGTCATAACAGACGTTCAAAACAAAAAAAGAGACTTGCCAGGCACAAATTTTCAGCTCGAGAGTGTAACCTCCTAGGTGAGGAAGGAAGGGAATGATGAAGAAGAAATAGAAGAATTGAGTTGGGATGACAGGAAACCCACACACTTGTCGTCCTGGTTCGTGGTTGGAATCGCTCAGCCCGCCACCGCCAACGGCCCGGTGTTTTTTGCCGTTGCTTGCCGGAAGGAGAGCAGAGAGAGGGCAACGTTTTAATCAAACAAAGTTAGGTATCTGGCAGTTGTGACAAAGAAAAAGGGAAAAAGCAAGAGAAGGGGATAGGTGGATGCTGGCGGTGTAGTATGAAAGCCAATGCAGTGGAAGGAAAGAGAAAAAGAATAAAGAAAGGTAGAAAAGAAAAAGAAAAAGGCATGGTGCATTCATCTGATCTGCTCTAGAATGGAGAGGAGCTTGGTCTTGGCCGATTCACAGATCTTCTATGGTATCCTTCTTTTTATTTCTTTTTCTTTCTCTTCTGTTTTCTTTCTTCTTCGTCGGAAAGCCATCCACAGTAGTCACTGCCACTGCACCAACTTCTATAACTATTGTCATAGGCAGAGCAGGAAAAATGCAAATGCTCGTGTTCGTTTGTATATATGAATATATACGGAGTAATATACATTATTTCTCAAAGAGGAAAAGGGTTGTTGGTTATTCTCTTCGAAAACGATGAAATCAAGGGCTGGCAGGGATACCATTCCCGAACTCCGGCGCCCAACTCTCTGCATAATGTGTACTTCATTCCAGCCCAGTGGCCAAATCCGACAGCGACTTCATCATTGTCTAAATGACGGACAATATAATGTAAATACTGCAAATTAAATTTTATAAGGAACAGATTAAAGCTACATTGGCTCTCTTTAAAGTTTTAACAGCCAAACAAGTATTTTATGGCCCTGTGAATAAGTCTGTATACACTAAAGAAGGCTAAAAAAAAAAAATAAGAATACATGTATATGTCACCAACAGTTGGAACAATTATGAGATTACTGATTTGTACAACTAGAAAACTGTGGATTTGCTTTGTTGTGTATATGACTAAGATGTATGCATAATATAATCTTTTTTTTTTAATGCTACGAGCTCTATTACAATGTAGTATCTGGTTCATATATTTTCTCAACCTACTGAAACACAAAGAACCAATAACGCCTCACTGGGGCTCAAACTCACAACCTTTTAAATGAAAGTCCAACCCGGGTACCATTAAACCACATAGTCCTGGTGTATGCATAATATAATCTAGTTCAAATGACAACCCTAATTTCCCCTAAACTCATTAAATGATCAAAACTGTTAAATTTTGCATATATAGTACGTACCTAGTCCTAGGCTTCCAAATTCTGATTAGTAGAACCCAATCATCTCTGCCATTCCATTCACTCAATGAAGCAAATTAAAGCTTCCAGGCTATATATATATGTCTCTACTTCACATATAAGCCCCCTTAGCTGGCCTTCAACAAAAACCATTCAATTTCCATTACAGTGATACAAAGCAAATCTCATGGCTGACAAAACCCATACACATTATGACACCCACAAAATCCACACTCCAATCCATGAATTAATTGAGTAATTAATTCTATTTCTCTGGAGGAATTGATTCTTAAAATCCTGATTTTTGATACTCAAGGACTAGTATTTGACTAATCAATCTTTAAGTGGTGTTGTACCTTGTGCTTTGAGAGGAGTTCCCTTGTTCCTCACACTTTCTAAGAGTTAGTAAGGGTATCCTTGTCTTTTCACCAAGAGTTAGTTTTGTAACCTAAACCTAGAAGACTTCTTCATTTTTCAT